ATGTCCATGAGCACTCTTAGCAGCGTCCCAATAGTCTATGCATACACCTCTTCCCATCTACATGCATATTTCACATGCACATTACACCCACACACGTGTGTGCATTCTGTCTGCTGAATTGGATTTTAAAGTACCTTTTGAGTATTTATTTATTTACAATGGTATAGACCTCGCATATCCACATACACGTGACGATGAAAATACTAATCAATGGCAAAATACAGAAAACGCAGTAAGAAGACTGTCAGGCGGCAGAGACGCTGGTGCCATCCCTACACGATCAAATATACACATAAGTATGATTGGAGAAGGAGACCTGAAATATTTCACTGTCAGAGAATGTGGAGCACTGCAATTCATTTCTATCTCCTGTGCTTTAGGACAATGACAATTTAATACAAGGCCAGTGGATGTAAAAGAGATAAAAACTGAACAAACTGGGCCAGTGCAATCAAAGGTTTTCTCCAGAGAGCTGGCTAGGGCCGGAGCTCATATGCACTTATAACAGATCAACACCGTATTGTTTCTCTCGCCCATGAATTTGCTATGAAGCAAAAATCAGAGCAATGCCTATCTGCTACACGACTTGAAAGTTCTGTGGGGGAACCTCGAATGCTCTTCTCTTATTTCTAAATGCTTGATAGCTGATGTTAAAAAAGTTTATTTCTTATTAGTTAATTGGTGCAATAGAAACCACTGCTATTCATTGCCACTGGTGTGACAATGTATCAGCCAAAAGCCCAGATATTAATTTACTTTATGTAATAACATAAGCAAAACCTCCAGAGCTGAGCAGCACTTTAGGAGTAATACAAAAAAAATGTTTTGCTTTAGTGACTAGGTTAAAACAAACATTGAGGAATTTTTCACAAGTGACTCGGACTTGAGATCGGGCATTATGCCTGCCTTCCGAAAGCACGGCCTCTTCTTTGTCTGTAGTTCTGGCCGGAGCGAGTTCTTGTGAAAGTATTGTTGAATAGACTCACAGAGCAGTTACCTGCCCTTTGTGATGAATGGCCCCATGAACCTAAAATTAATTGCAAAACTACGGCCCAGCTGATGAGATGGTCCTTATCTTTTTTCAGCACAGGAAGCCAGGTATTTTTCTGCTAGCTCAATATTGGACAGAAATGCCTGAAGTATTATCAACTAAGTAAAAATCTAATTAAAAGACCTCAGAGGCAGAAATGATCATAAATTTTAAGATCTGGAAAATTTGGAGTTAAAAGTGATTTCCTGCATTACTTTCTTTTTTCAGCCTTAATTTCTTGTCTTTTTTACTTTGAGAAAAACAAAAAAAAAAATATGTATTTCTCCTCTGGCTTCTATTAGCATTTTTAAAAGCTGAATCACAATACCATTCTTTACAAGATGCCCAATATATATTCCAGGTCAGATTAAATCAAAGGGATTTATCAAAGGCCGTCAATTTAGAATTTTTTTTTTTTTAAAGAACAATGACACCTTTCTGGGGAGAAAACACTAGAAAAATGATCATCCATGCAAGAGAATTAATGGATATCCACAAGGGCTTTGCTAATAACATGGGTTAATTACCGCTGCAACACGCTAGGCTCAGTAAATAAAACAGCAGTGGCTTAAACACAGTAAGATGAGAAACCATCGCCAGAGGAGCCCACTCCCACCCTCGCCCTTGCCTCTGCCCAGGCCATGGACAGCTATTCTCCAGCCCTTTCTACAGAAGGATGATTTCTAAACTTAGCACCCAGCGCGCAGGGTGCTACATAAACACAGTGACACAAAGGACTGGTGAGACGTGGGTCCCGTCACTGGCTCACCACTCCCATTCAGCCCTTATTGCATGAACTCACACGCACTTTTTTTTTTTCTTACTCCAAGGAGAAATCCTGTATTACATAATACACACTGTCTGGCTATCTCGACCGTACATAGTTTGGGATATGTATACAAATAGCAGTGGTTCTTTATTGTTTAGGAAACACAGAAGGAATCGGTGAATGAATCGGTTCACTTTAGTGATGGGAGAGACAAGATGACTAGACTACAGCTCAAGAACACTCACCCCTACGTATGGCTGGTTGTCATTCCAGCAATTTACAAAGAAATCCCCTGAAAACCCCACCCCCGCCCCTCCCTTGAAGGCTGCAGGTGTTCCCATCAGAGTTGCTGAGAGGAAGCAGGAAGGAAAGTAGGTAGGCTGCAGGTCGGGAGTGTAAGTGTTCGTCCACAGGAAAATAAACTTCGAGTGCCTTCTCCTAGGTCTCAAATAATACCCCATCGGAAGTGGCTCAGCAAGCTCCTATCTTTTTGTTAAAGCCTGATTTAGCCGTGCTGTTATTGTTCTGTATACATGTCCCCCTCCTGTCTGTATTTATCCCATGCATTCTGACATTATGATATTACTTTTGGATAGTTGTATTTCAATTTACTTTAGCTTTTAATAAGAAGAGATGAGGCAGAGGGAAAACAAACAAACAAACAAACAACAAGCTAAACAGGAAGAGTGGACCATATAAAATAAAACTTGCAGAGCACCAAATAGGAACCTTCAAGCCCAAATGTGCTTAATTTTCAACGTCTGCATTTCAATGGATCAAGCTGAAATTTACTGGGCTGCTCCCTCCTCGCCTTGCCTGCTTTGGAGTGTTTCAATTGCCTTTCCTTTTCCCAACAGCTGTGACAACTGTTAAAACAGTCAGTAAAATTAAGTCCGCTCTATAATCCTGTAGTCAATGTTACATTTTAATCAGAGGTTGAAAAGGATTCATGTGATGAGCAGACTCATTTAGAATGATTAGACAGACACATATGTCAAAATGAGCAGAGATATTATTTTCATCTATTTATGCTATCAGTTATCACTGCTATGAAATGTGAAACAAGCTTTCAAGTATTATGTCCTTTAATGTGCTGGCAGATTTCCTAAAATAAAAAAAATACAGTTATAGGTTAACATTTTAGGCCCTCCTAATGGTGGTCAATAAATTGTACAAACCTTTTCCAACAGTCTCCGAAGCAGAAATTGTCCGAGAGCCCCCTCTGATACTGCATTACTGGTTTCATTTCTATGTATATGCACACGTGATGGGGTTTAACCCGGTACAATTACTATGAATATTAATAGCATGTATAAATTCTGTGGTTTATTAATTGAGACAGAGAGGCAGATGCGTTGCTTAGCATTAGATCTTTCTGTCTGTCCAGTGAACCACGTAACCATCAGAACTGCATCCAGACACTAAATCTGTATTTTTTTAAAAGATGACTTTTAATCGAGCCAAAAAGAAAGCTAGTTTGAATCTTGCGCCAAAGCCAAAGGACATGTGCCCTGATTTCATTCAAAAGCATCTGCTTTAAGAGGCTTATCTAAACTAATTATTCAAATGAGCTATAAGTTAAATTCAAGGAAACTTCTTTAAAAAGAAGCCTCTGGGAGATGTTTAAAGTTTGTTTTGTTTATTTATTTAAGAGAGAAAGTTCCGAATCTGGGGGTGCTCAGAGGAGGCAGCCTTCCTGGCAGGCAGAGCTTTTAAATTCTCCAACCCTCCAGCCCCAGGTCTACTGACCTTCAAACTATACTTGGCGGGTGGGGGGCAGTCCTGCCTTTGTTTATTTTTCATTTTTATTTTCACACAGTTTAAGGCTGCTCCTGCCTTTGAGTGTTTCAAACTGATGCACGCCCAGCCTTGCGATCTTTCGGGGCCTCCTAAGCCCATCTCTTGGCAATATCCCCTGTGTGAGCGTGAGCGTGAGCGTGAGCGTGTGGGTGGGTGTGAGCATGCCTACAGAAACACACACACTCACACTCAGGCACACAGCGGCCACGGAGACGGCAAGGCACTTTCATTTCTTACTTAATTACCAGGCGATGCAATATGCAGTCACTAAGGACAGCTAGTGGACATCCACCTATAATACACTACCTCATCTTCTGGAGTTTTATATTTTCTTCACAATCTATAGAGAGATGTGCTGGCCAAAAGCACGCTTTGCAGAATTATAACAGTTGGTATGACCGTAATGTGACAGCAAAGCAGCAGAAAGAGGGACCGGCAACAGCCCCTGTGGCACACTGATATTTCGTCCTAACCGTGGGCTGAAATTCCCTTTACGACCCACTCATTTACACAAGAACGCCTAATTTACTTCTCCCGCCCCCCTCACCTCTCCCCCACCGTAGTACCCCAAATACAGGGATCCCTGGGCATAAAGGTACCCAAATGGGATTTAAATCACATGTAAGAACAAAACTACTTTTCTGCATTTCCTGGACTTGATACATAAAACAAATCCACAATCTCAACACTGTCTTATTCAAGGGGAAATTTAAAAAGTCACTACTGTTTCTTCCTTAGTTTTCCCTCCCCTTAAATATTTATAATGTGTGAAAATCTCATGTTACTTAATGGACTGATTTGTCAGTTAAGTGCTGACTTAACGCTAACCATGCAAATAACATTATTCTAGCCCTGAATTGCAAGGGGCTAGTTTTTAAATTGTTCTCTGAAGGAGCATTAGTAAATGTGCAATCTTGCCTCTAACTCTGCCGGGTAAGAAATGACAAGGAGCTGAAAATATCTGTCAAACTGCAAATACCTAAGAAGCACTCCATAGTATAAATCATTTTGAATATTGTATTTTAAAACATCTTTCCTTAGGAAATGGGTCCTAGTAAAAGATGCATTTTAACAGTTCACTAAGCATTTGTGCCAAGTGCCTATTCTTAGCACCTGAATAAGAAGTGACTGTCACACAGCTGTTTTACTGACAGTCACTGAGCTTTGCCTCAAAGGTAACATTGTAGTCAAGAGAACAATTCTCGACTTACTGAATTAGGAGCTCACCCTCCACACAAAAGGCACAAGACAGACACAAACAAGCACTCGTGCACAGAAAACACCGGGGGCACTACCTGAATCAGGGAGCAAAGAAACGCTCGCCCGCCCCCCCGCCCCCCCACCCCCAGCCCCACACGCACCCCCACGCCGAGTTTAAAAAGGAAAGAAAAAGGTACCTACTCTTCCTCGTAGTGCAGGGGGAAGGATTCAGGGAGGCAAAGTTCTACCGAATCCATGTGCGGCCGGCAACCATTATGTGCGCACCCCAGCCATAAATCAAAGTTTCCTTGACAGAGCACAGCGCAATTAACACAAACGTTCTCCTAGTGACAAGCCTATAGGCACAGCCAGTTGGGACCAAAGCTCTCACACTCTCCTAATCAAGGACTTAAAGCCCCGATTGGAGCTTATTAATATGAAGTAGGGCTTTACATATGCAGCCCCACCGGCCCAGCCTCGCAGCCGATTGGGGGGCCTCTGCCCAATCAGGACGGAGGCGACGGGAGGCTGCCCGCCGCGCCGCCAGGCAGGTAGCGAGGGCGCAGACGAGCCGAGGGGGTGCGCGCGGAGTGGGAGAGGAACAGCGCCAGGACCGGAGGGAGCCCGCGCGCTCCCAGGACACCCTGTGCTTTTCCTGCCTTCTTTTCTTTCTTCCTTTCCTTTTTTTTTTTCTTCCTCCCCCTGGAAAGCTGCAAAACAAACCCAACTAACTTAACTCTGTAAGCACTGGAGGCAGTCGGTTTCCAACCTCAGCTCGGCTGTGCCCTGAAAAGAAGAGCCCTCGCACTCAGTTAATTCGGGGAAGGATCCCGCGGAAGGTAGAGAATGAAGTTTGTCCTGCTGTTGTCTGTGTTTTACCCTCCCTGCCGGTGGGCTCCTTATTTAGTGCCGACTTTCTCGTGCATTCCTCACCGGGTCTGGCTTGCTTTCCTCTTCTAAAGCGACCTTCTTCTCAGTCGTTCGGGCATGTGAATGGAGATCGCATCTTGGAGGAGAAATTCAGTTTTTCCGCAAGGACAGAAGAGGAAGTAGCGCCTCCAGATAATCGGAGAGGATGCCTATGTGTATTTTCTGTGTAAACATTTCTTTACCTGCCGCTGTGTCTCTAACTACAGGAATAGGATACCTAGCTTTTCAAAACTGCAGGGCAAACCGGCCTGTGCAGTTTCAGGGGTGGGGGACGGAGGGCTGTGGGACAAACAGCACATTAAAGCGATCTCAGTGCGTTGGGACAACGTGAAGGCTGCGTTTTGGGTTCGGACAGCCTGCACTCAAAGTGTTCTTAATCATGTGTAACTTCGATACAAGCTTCCAGACTGGGAGACATACACAAATATATGTGATTTTACCCAAAACAGCAGCTTTCCAATAAAATGCAGTTTACATATTTGTCCCTATATGTAACACTCCCTGAATGCTTTTAAAATTCAGCTCAGAAACATTTTGCAAATCATCACATGATCTGTTCATTATAAGGACTACTTCCAAACAGACAGTAATTTACAAAACTAAGAATTCTCAAACAAAAGTGTGTTTTGTTTTGAAGAGGATATAAGAGGAGAAGGCTGTTTTTTCCTCCAATAGCATATAGTGTGTTTCCATATAGCAAAGAGTTTTCTTAAGCCCCACTATAAAATATAGGATATTTTGTACTTGGAATAGACATCAGCTATTTATAGCAAAGAGATAATTGCTACCTTATGGAGAGTGGAAGACCCACAATTTTGGCATAATTTATCTCTACTGCTTACCAACCTCTTGTATCTATCATAAGCCTTACATGATATAAATAGTATAATCTTTGAGATCAAAATAAATGAACTCAGATACTCAGTGTGTATTAAATTCACTAAATCAGATCTCGACTCTTTTTCTCAACCCTCTGAAAGGTCCTAGGTCTATAAAAAACAAAATACTAAAATAGAACAGTTGTATTAAAATTCAGAATATAAAAATGGCAGACATGATTTGGTGCCCCCCACAGAAGAAAGCAATTCTTGTACCATGTATTTAGCCATATCTAAGATTTGGACCTGATTCCTTTTATTTGTGGTCAAAATGCATACAAGTTTCTAGATGGGAACTCACATAGCAAAAATTGTGCCCGAAAATACGGTATAAAAGCAGGTAGTAAAAGCTTAATTACCAGTAGCATTATGCTGTCTATATTGTTAAATGTGAACTCTGCAATTAAGATGTAAATTTGGTTGTGAGCAGTGAATTAAAAGAGCTTTGAGATGTGGAAGAAAATCCAAGCATTCTGCAGACACTCAAAAAAAAAAAAAAAAGGAAAAGAAAAGATCTGTATATTCAGTCTAAAATGAGACATGTAATCATTTTATAATTAAAAAATAAATAAAAAGGCATTTGAAAAAGAAACATGATTTTTCTAAAACACAGTATAAGGATTATGGAAGCTAATAGAGCATTAGAAATACAGTTTTAAAAATATCATGGATTCAAAGATAACTATCTTGATTTCTGAATAGACTTAGGTCCTCAGGGTAATAAGTAGATCCAATTGTACATATTTTAAAGATATGCCAAAAAAAAAGTTTCTTCTTATCTTGTCCAGAGACCTTTAAAAAAAAGTAATGTACTCAACACATTCCAATTTTCCACCTGTGCGGCACCCTGTGCTGTTGTCGGTCTCTCTGCATTACCATGCTGTGACAGAGCCTGTTTATTAGTCCCCTACAACGGCTTTTTAAAGACAAGATCTGTAGTGAATTCTGTACAGATGGATTTTAAAGTCACCACGTTGCACAAGAGTTATCTTTTATTTCTTGGAATTTTCTTACTCCCTTTGGGTACTTACGTGACCCATTAGGAACCAATTGATTGTGTTAGTATATATTTTTAAACATATTTAGACTCATGTTCACGTGCACGTCTTTTTCTCTGTGCTCACAGAGATCCCTACTGCTTTTTGCTCAAGGCATACCATCTCTGCAAGCACCGTGCCCCCTCAGCTAGCTGCTTTCTGAATGACCAGGGTCCACTAGGTTTGTAGGGCTGTGTGTGTGTGTTTTCCCTCGGGATCCATGTGTCACCTCTACAAGTCAAGGACCGAAGATTACACCCACTGTCTTGAATCTCGTTTAACCAATTTAAATTTTAAAATAATATCTCCAGCACTACACTTGCCAGACAGCCTCCAGAATATTTTATAAACACACAGCTTAGTCATCTCAAGCATCTTCCCTCGTCACAGAGCTTTCTCACCTTGAAGGAGGAAAGGGTGGATAATCACAGGAAATAAACACACCAGGAGCAATATTGGGCAGAAACCTTTAAGAATCTCAACTCAAAGAATTGGGAAGACAACAAACAGATAAACAGCTTAGAATAAACACAGATTGCTAATCAGTTTTATATACTTCACAATCTTACCACAAGGAGTCTATTCTAAGCAGGATAAATGGGACCAAACAAAAGGAGCTTTTAGGATTGTGTCACAAAGAATATTACTAAATTAGTTAATATCAGTATCTTACACTTCATGCCCTGGGCCCCAGCACAGTCTCAGCCTCTTCTTTAAACAATGCAGTCACAAATATCCAAAAGACATCATTCTGGGGCCCCAACTAACAGACAGACACCAAACAGAAAATACACTTCATTTCAATGCAAACAGAATGGCAACAAACAGAACTGAAGTGGAAGCAAAAGGTTAGAGTCCTGTTGTCTATACCTGAACTTTTTACTGTATTTTAATCAGAATCATTTCCAAAACATTCTAACAATACATTCTTATGTTGCCCAAAGGAGGTGAGAAATGCTTAGTCTTGCTAATTATTGCATATTAATAGCTATTTTTAGTTCCCACCTTCCTTTTCTGAAAATTAATAGGACTCATCTGTATTAAAATGTTTATAGTTGCCACACTCTTTCTAAAGCAAATTTTGATTTTGTATTGCACATTTGCTATTGTTTAATATTTTAAGTTAACAAAGGCACTACAAATCTAGATTTTCAAATTGTAGGTCTCGCCTCAAAATCCAAACGCCTTTGAAAAGCTGTTTAACTTTTTGAACCATCTTCCTTGCTGTCTTGGATGCATCTTGTGCAGTATATACCATACTACAAAAAAGCAAACCAAGACTCGTACAAACTACAATCTTTAACTCCAAAAGAAAACCCACAACGAATATCCCTGGAAAAAGAACCTTGAAGGACTGGCAGGAGGCCTAAAGTTCAGTCTCCCTTCTGTTTGCACAGGACCGGTGTGGCCTTAGGCAGGTCACCTCCGATATCTGTCCCCAGTTTCCTCATCTGCACCTGGGATTTCTGGTGTGCTGGGAATCTGCTTAAGAACACACCTTCCCCACTGAGGACAGACTTCTCTCCCAGTCCGCCTCAGCCCTCCACTGTTACTGCCAGACCCCTATCAATCCATCACACCTCATTTTCCGTTGCCTTTCATTTCGAGGGCACAGGCTTTGATATTTAAATTATTGTCTCGATTGGCAAGAAGCAATCAGTTCTGCTGCAAGTGATCGCTCCCACAGAAGCAGTAATAAAAATCCTTGCCTTTTGACAAACCTCTTGTCCTGTAAATCCATCCCATTCCCAAATTACTGAGTCTGTGTAAGAAACGCCCATTCTCTGGGGGGCAATTACATCACCCCCATAACAGCAAATTCTCTTCCTAGTGTGTTTGTGAAAGTGTGTGTGGTGGGGGGGGGGGGGGGGGGGGTGGAGATCAAAGGAAGACAGAAAAACTAATAGAGGTTTCTGTTTAATTAACAGGATTATCTCACTTTCACTTTGTCAAGCTAATAATATACATGGTAAAATGTCAGTAAAAATTAAATTATAAACTACAGCAGATCCAGCGGGAAAACTGACTTCAGTTATGTTGTATTTTCAACACACTTACTAAGGTAAAATACCAAGTGCATTTTACAGTATCCTGCAAGCTTTCTATAATCTGCATGGCATGTATTTACAGAGAGCAATCATTAACATTTTGAGATTATACATTAATAAATGAGTTGCAGTTATATTCTTTCCTGAATGTTAAGCACCATGAGCTAAACGCAGAAAACATTCAAGGTCAATGTCCCGTTTTAGACCTTTTCAGGCAGCCGTAATATTATGATAATCAAGCTTAAAATATTCCTATAGAAAGAGTAAATTAGCCTTTTCACTTGAAAGATGATTATGATAAACAATAAACCTAAGAGAGGACAAAATCCCTATTTTTAAAAGCCATAAATTGTTGACCCAATCGTGTATGTGATCATCTTGTCCAAAATGAAGGGCAGGAGAACCCGGAGAGGAAGGTGGGGGAACATGGAGGCGGGGGAGGGGGGAGTGGAACAAAAACGCGAGATTCTAGAACAAGCAATAGTGGCTTTGATACCAGAAAAATGATCAAGTCATCCACATTAACCACCCCATTTAACATAGACTATAGT